TGCATTAAGATTATCTTTAACAATCATGGTGGTGGAATTTTCATCACTTTTGTCAAAGGATTAAGCAATGCCAACTCCAAATAGTTTTAAAGCTATTCAGAAAAACGTCCATGACCATTTAACTTTGGAATAGACCTTAATTAAGCATACAGTTTTCTTCTTCTTAATTAATAGTCTCATCATTTTTATTTGTATTCATCCTTGATGATCATTATCATGACTGTGACCATGATCAAACCGTCGTGTCTGTAACCATGATCAAATCGTCGTGTCTGTAACCATGATCAAATCGTCGTGTCTGTAACCATGATCAAATCGTCGTGTCTGTAACCATGACCATGATCAAAGCGCATTGTCTCTGACGGCAGCCATGATCAAATCACTGTGACCGTGATCATAACCGTGATCATGACCGTGACTAAAAAACTTGGTCACACCAGGAACATTACACAAGACCATCAATCCCTCGGAATCTGTCACCATCTTAATCCCTTGCAAAGGCATTGTCTTCTTATTTTTCTCTCGTTTTCTGCTAGTGAAAGGCAAATGATGTCTCAAAATTGGACGTATGTCCAAAATTACTACGAAGTTGTAAAAGAATTTGCAGAAAATTCAGATTCTCAGCGATTCTACTTTATAGGGCACAAATCGAGTACAACACACATAACTCAACAAGTGAAAGCAGAAAAACTGAACTAAAAGAGATTTTTTTTTTACTGTTCATTATGATCAATTGCGTGACAATAACACCATATGAAAAGCAATATGGGCACTTGGGAATATTTCTGTGTCATAAATAATTTTAATTAAACATAAAGACATTTTAAAAAGTCTTATCGAGATAAGTTCTTAACATATTTTGGTGTTGTCAAATAAAAGAGACTTCTCATTGAAATCATTTTTCAATGATTGTACATTTAATTGTTGAATTTTTTTAATTGAAATTTAGGTGAATTTGCTATTCGAAGTCTTATTAAAATAGGCCGTCAATTAGTTAGTATTTGTGAATTATCTTATCGTCGTGATCTTCTGGAATGTTGTCTTAATATCGAAAATTTATTATTAAAATATAAAGATTTATTACGCAGACGATTAGTAAGTTTCTATTCATTTCGTTTTTTATTCTTAAAAAAAAAACAAAGTTCTTTTTTGTTTTCAGCCTATTAACGGACCAGAATGTGTTATGATAAGTCGTTCTTTATCTTCACATATTTCTCAATTACAACGTCGTCTTCAAGAAGCTATTATTTATCAAGTATCCGACGATTTTATGGATATTACATCAACAATAAAAATATTACGAGATGTAACTTTTCAATCATCAAGTATTTATAAAATAAACAAATATATAAAATGAAAATCCAATTGATTTTTTTTTCATTGTAGATGAACCAAATCGACAAGAACTATTTCAAACAGCTATGCAAGAATTTATAAATCATTCATCAACATTAACACAAACAGCACGTTTAGCTGCTAATGGAACATCATGTCGATCAAAATCGACAATTGAAACAATTAATATAACTGCTTCACAAGTTTGTTAATACTTGAATTCAGTAAAAAGAAAATGTGAAATTTTTTTTTTTTTTTATTAGATCAATGATCTAACACCTCAAGTTATTTATGCAGCTCGTATTGGTTTTGGTGATCCAACTAGTTCGTCAACAACTGAAGAGCATTTTGATCTTCTTCGTGATCAATGGTTAACACAAATGGAATATTTACGACTTCAAGTTGACGAAGCTATTCCATCTGATGAATTTGTCAAAGCTTGTGGTTGGTTCTTATTTTTCATTTTTCAACTAAAAAAAAAAACAAAATAAATATAATAATTATTTTTTTTTAGAAGAAGCAATTATTCATGATACACAACAAACAGAAAAAGCTGTAGCTGATTTAAATCCTTCAATTATTATTGATAGTACATCGAATATAATTCGACGTGCTAATCGTATATTACTTGTAACATATCAAGAAATAGAAAATTCGGAAGATTCAACCTTTACAACACAACTTCAAAAAGTATCCAATGCATTTAAAGAAAGTAAATAATAACGTAGATTTTATTTTTGTGTAACGCACATATATTTTCGAAAGAAATAGGACATGTAAGTTGAAGTTTTACAGCTCTCTGCATTACAGACGTTAGATTCCTTTCCCAAAATCTTCTACGATGTTTTGAGAAATCCATGAAATATAGTGTTAATCATGGTAATTATTACGTTATTCATTCTTCATGTTAATATACGTCCATGAATATTTTCAATAGTGCGGTTTCTGATTTTTACACAGATCAAAAGACGTCAAGGATGATGGGTAGTAATGTATTCATTTACCACAGCTGTTACATGATCAACATAACAAGCATGAAGTGATAAAGTTTAATTTAGAAAAATAATCAATATTAATGTTTGTGACTTTATTAAGATATATAATAGTGTGTTGAGATCTCTGAAAAAAAAATCTGTTTAAAATCCAGAAATATATAAGACATCGTGTTTCTGACGATCGATTATCCTTGAAAAACAGCTATAGTCTATTATAGAGATTTTTCACGTTATTCATTTTTTTATTACCATAATGACACTCAAGAGTGTATGCAAATTTGACATGTCAGACCCAAGAGGACTGCACTGACTAATGTATTTTTGATTGAAATTACAATAATATGCTTTCATTGTTCTTTTAAGCTTTCCAACCAATGATTGCTGCAGCTAAACAATTAGCTTTAAACCCAGACAATAAACTAATACACTCAAAATGGCAACAAACAAATAATGAAGTATGAAAAAATTTATTCGAAAATTTCAAAGAGCTTTTTTTTCTTGATTCTAGTTAATTGACGCTATCGGAAATATACGTGAAATATTGCAACCAATTACAACAAATCTTGTTAATGACATAGCACATATTTCATTTTATCATGATAGTCGTAGTTGTATGCGTGACATTGAATGAATGTTTTTTGTTTTTTTCGTGTCATGAAGATTTTATAAATTTTAGCATCAAGATCTCCACCTCCTCGACCACCACTACCATCTGATGAAGAATTATCAGCATCTGCTGCTCCACCACGACCACCTTTACCTGTTTTCGAACCAAGAGATGAAGAAACATATGATAAAGATTTACCATTACCTCAACCAAATCAACCAATGCTAGTTCGTATAAATCAAACAAAACGCAAATTAATGAATTAATTTGAATATTTTTAGATGGCTGCACATGATTTACATATGAATATAAAACAATATTCAAGTCATGATAATGAACTTATTGCATTAGCAAAAAAAATGACACATTTTATTGCTCAATTGAGTCTACTTATTCGGTAAACTATTAATAATATTGTATTTTATTTAATTGTATTTGTCTATATGATTATTATAGTGGTGAAACAGGAACAAAACGTGATTTAATTTCAATATCACGAGAACTTGCAGAAATGTCTGAACATATAACATATCTTGCTAAACAAATAGCAAAGGAATGTACGGATCGACGAATGCGTACAGTTCGTATTAATAACGAGAAAAAAAAATTTCATTTTCTTTTTTTTTTTTTTTTTTTGTACTTTTATTTTAGCATTTACTTCAAGTTAGTGAACGTATACCAACCATTGGTACACAACTTAAAATTCTATCAACAGTAAAAGCAACTATGTTTGGTATCTATGGTAAGCAAATATTTTGTAAAGTCTTTTTTTTGTTTTGTTTTGTAAATTTTACATGTATAGATTTTCTACCACGTAGTTTAAGTAAAAATGAACGAGCAATGATTAGTAAGAGAGAAAGGAAAAGAAAGAAAGAAGCATGATATATCCATTTTATTGAACCTGCTTTATAGTGATCACTGATTGACTTATTTCGGCGTCATATGTCTCTAATATAAATTGTTTCGAATACCACAAAAAAAAAAAGAATGCACATATTATCCTGCCTATTTCTCCTGAAGAGAAACACAGATGGCAATAAATATTTTATTTATTTCTAAAAATACTTTTCTTTTTTCTTCAAGGAGAAAGAAAAAAAACAACTAAGTCTTAAACTTGCATGAATAGTTCAAGCGGAAAATAAAATTATTTTTAGTTAGAATAATTTCAATTAAATAATAGTAATCGATTTTCAGGTTGATTTACAAAGCTTTTTATTTTAACCTTGTTTAACTAAAAATTATATCAAGAAGAATATAATTCTTTCATAATGGATTCTTAATTATAAAATTACTTTTTTCTTTTTTTGTTTATATTCAATGTTGAATTTCATTATTATTGTTATTATATGACAACCTATGAAATATCAATTAATTAATTCATTTTCTTTTTTCTTCTTATAAATAGAAGCTTCACTATAAACTTTTTCACGAACTATTAAATTAATGTTTCATAAAAGTATAATAAATTCAATCATGTTTTATTCCATTAATTTTAAGAAGGTCGATTTGTTATTTGAAGTGGAAAAAAAAAATATTTTCTTTCGATAGGAAGTGTGACGATAAATTATATTGTATACCTCGTTTTACATGCATGACAAGAGCTTAAACTTGACATATTTATGAATATATTGAATCAAAAATTATTAAATTCTCTAATTTATGACGAAGAAAAAAAAAAATAAATAACTTAAATTTACTTTTTAGACTCTGAAGAAGATGCTGAAGCAACTGAAATGCTTATTAGTAATGCACAAAATTTAATGCAATCTATTAAAGAAACAGTAAAAGCAGCTGAAATTGCATCAGATAAACTTCGCCCTATGGACAACAAAATTCGTCTACGATGGACAAGACGAACTCGTTAGAAAAAAAATAAATCTTTTTCTTTTTCTTTTATAAATGTTTGTATGAAATTTTTCTTTTTTTTTTTATTATGTAATAATAGTAGATAAAATATTTTATTGTTATTAATTTATTCAATTTTCCTTTTTATAAATTTCTTTTCCTGGTTTTTGTTTTTTATATATAAAGAAAAAAAAAATATGCAAGAATAGAAAATAATCATGTGGATTTGTCGTTTAATACATACAACATTTTCATCAGCTAAATTAGCTGCTGTATCTATTGAAAAGGTAATTAATTGGTTATATGTTATGATATTAAAAAATTTTATTTGAAATATTTTCTATAGACTAAATTACAATCGTTTGTTGTTAGTCTTATATCATCTGGATTATTTTCACGTATATCTGATGTTATTCCTTATGAAGAATCATCTCTATTCGATTTTTCATCTTATTTTAAACATTTTTCATCAATTACAAATGAAATTATGCCATCTATATCGTTTGGACAAACAATATTAGTAGCTGACATGATACCAAGCACTATGAAAATACTTGATGGGTGAGTATGCTGATTTATTAGATGCATGCAAATGTTAAAAATGCCTTTGACGTTTCTTCTATTTCTGCAAGTTTTTTTTTCTCGTCGTGTTTGCGTCTTTTTTTTTTTTTGTAATTATGGTTAAAATTGTGGCAACCGGTAACAATTATGGTGACTTTGGCGTATGGATTATTTCAGAAAAAAAAATTCTTTAAGCAACAACAGCTGTTTATCTCAAGAAATAACAGCGAATCAGTAAGTATGCAACTTTGAAATTAGATTTAGATGATAATCATCAAGCATACAGTTTTCTTTTTTCTTCTCTTATATTCTATTCCATTCTCTTCTCTAAGGTCCGTAGTTTAATTGCGTTAGTTGTTGTTAGTCAGACTATAGAAACATAGAAAAAGACCGGCTGCTTCATTGTAAAAACAGAATTTTCTTTTTTTTCCTCTATTCTTTCGGCTTTCATTTCTATTTCGTCTATACATTCTCACGTAGACACATTTAGATAGAACACATCCGAACATCATTCATTCTTTCTTATAGTTAAAGCAAGAACATATTATTAGAAAGATATGTTTTAAAAAAACATATTTAGATAGTTTCTTTTGTTAATTAGTAAATTTATGCATTCAAATGTAAGGAGTCGTATCTATATTATAAAGTGTTCATAATTACTAAGTAGAAGTCGAATAGGCTCATTTTCTTTTCGAAATGTATGTATTTATGTGTATATAAGTTGAAAAAAAATAACTTTAATATAGTTCGTGACAACTTAATTGAGAAAAAATGAATGCTTTATTTTTTTTTTGTTTTCTATGCATATTTGAATACTATTAATATATGAACCAACATCTTCTTTTATGTGTGAACTGACGTACTGTTAAGTACGAATTTTTCTTTTTGTCTTGTTCTTCTATTCAATGACGACCTTCTTAGCAGTTGCTATCACACTCCTTCACTATATCACGTTGTCGAACAAAAGAAAAATCACAACTATTATTATCATTAATATCATCATAAGTAGAACGATTAGTGCGTCTGTTTGAGTTTTCTTCTATATTCATTGTTACGATAATTTCTATAGTTAGATCTTTGCTCTAACGAGTAAGAAAAAAAAAGGAATTGGTGGAATCCTTCTTTAATATGAGAAACGTTTTATTTCTTCTCTTTACATAAGTTTGTCGTCGTACTTTTTTTCTTTTATCGTTCTTTTCTGTCTGTCTCCTCTTATAGAAGTGTTGTTATTCGCGTCATAGATTGCCGAAGAAGAAGACCCCAAAAAAAAGAAAGAACGAGAAAAAGAAAGAAAATAAGAGAGTAAAAATAGTTATGTAATAATAGATTCGGCTTCTTTATTGTACAGTTACTATCGTCCTTGTCATCAGTAAGACCATACATAATATTTTCTTTCTCTTTTTTTGCCTGATTATTCACATGAGAAAAAGAAAAGGACAACAGCACTAACCGCAAGAAACCAGTTGTTAGCTCCTATCAATATATCTATTCATTGAATACTAATAGATAAGGTCTTTTCTTGCCTTGTTTATTCGAACAACCTAAGATTTATATCTCTCTCGAGCTTACACATGCACACACATCAGTATAGTCTTTTCTTATCTATTCACATTGCTTATTGTTAACGATGGCCGAAAATGATTTTTGATGGATTATATGAATAGCTGGATGTATCGCGTGAAAAAAAGAGAGAGAAGAGTAATGTGTCGATATACGCTGCTCTAACCATGGTCCTCTTTTTCTCTCCACTTATAATAGAGTAGCAACAGGGTTGAAATAGGCGAGAATGCGGTCGAGGCCATTTTTTTCTCATTTCTCCTATCTTCTCATAGGTCATTGTTAGGGCGTATCTGTTCGGAACATGCGGTCTTTTCTTTTTCTTTACTTTCTTATATTTTATAACTTAACTTTTAAATAAACTTTTTTTTTTTTTTCTAAAAAATCTTTATTAGTAATTTAAGAAGAAAAATAAAACCTTAGAAATAGCAATAATATTCTTTCTTTTTTCTTCTTCTTGAAAAAATTGCAATTATCATTTGTTTTTCTTTCTTTCTAGTTTTAATTATCTGAGCTGTTAGAATAAAATAAAATGTCAACTGATCCAGCAGTTGGTCGTCTTCAACCAGGTGATGGAACTGAAGATTCCACTCAACGTGGCTGTACATCATGGTTACTTATATCATGTGTTATTCTTACCTTAACAACATCATTTGTATTTGGTTGGGGTTTAGGTGCACCAAATATGTATAATCATTTTACGGAACCATTTCTTAAAGGTCAAAATCCATGTGATGTTCCAAAATCGGATCATATGCATTCAGATGAAACAACATTAGCACCAGAAATAATGGATAAAAATGAAATAGTGGAAAAAACAGACGATCAAAATGTTGAAACCGAAATAACTAAAAATGATAATGTTTTAGAAGAAAGATCACATCGTCATCACGGAAAACCTAAAGATGAATTTAATTTTTTTTTCGAATTAGTAAAAGGTATTCCACAAACGGTATTTCTTATTGGAGCATTTATTGGTGCACTTACGGGTCCATTTTGGCCGAATTTCTTCGATCGTAAACGTACAGTTTTTGCTAATTATTTATTTTGTTTTGCTTCATCACTTTGTGTTTTATTGGCATATTATTTTGTTAAACCATGGCTATTTTATCTAAGTCGTTTGTTACTTGGTTATCAAGGTAAATAATAAAAAAATTAAATTAAATTAAAATACATTGAAAATCAATTATATTTGGTTTTCTTTTTTTTGATAGGTGGTATGGCATGTGTTGTTGTCCCACCATTTATTGGTGAAATCTCTTCACAACGTGTTCGTGGTGCAGCTGGTGCTGCTTTTCAACTTTCATTAACAATCGGTATTCTTGTTGCACAAATTATTGGTTTACCATTTCTTGCTGGATCATGTGATCGTTGGGGTTGGGGTCTTGCTATTGTCTTTTTATTACCATTCGTTGGTCTTTTTCTTCTATTTCTTTTACCTAATTCACCAACACAAATGATTGGAAAATATAATAATGAAGAACAAGCTATAGAAGATTTAAAAAAATTACGAGGAACAAATAATATTCAAGCTGATCTTGAACTTATTCGACAACAAACAAGACAAGTTAGTGGAGGTAAAACCGAATCATTATCAATTCCTCAAGTAATTATAATATAATGATAAAATTGTTAAAAAAAAATACATATATTTATATATCTATATAAATTTTTGTTTCGATTAGGTACTTACTTCGACTCATTATCGTTGGCCAATGTTAACAACTGTCGTTCTTCAAGTAGCACAAGCATTATCTGGTATCAATGCTGTATTTTTTTATTCATCAAAAATGTTTGCAAAAGCTGGTATTCCACGTGATTATATACCATATGCTAATATTGGTACAGGTCTTATTAATGTACTTGCAACAATTGTATCAATATCATTAATTGAAAAACTTGGTCGTCGAGCATTAATTATTTATCCAATGGGTGTTATGGTTGTTGTATTTGGTATACTTACAGCACTTGTTCAATTAAATGAAACTCGAAATAATTCAACATTGGGTGTATTATCAGTTATATTTATTTTAATATTTATTGTATGTTTTGCTGTTGGTCTTGGTCCAATTCCATTTTTATATGGTAGTGAAGTTTGTCGACCAGAAGCTCGAGATAGTGTTCAATCATTGGGTTTAGTTGGTAATTATATTGGAAATATTCTTTTATCATTATTTTTTCCTGCACTTAATTCAATTCTTGGTGGTTATGTATTTTTAATTTTTCTGGTACTTGTTTTACTTAATATCATTTTTCTTTGGTATAAAATGCCTGAAACAAAGAATAAATCAATTGAAGATGCTGAACGATTTTGGAATATTCCTATAAAACCAAAAGAAGCACTTTTATCAACAACTGCAACAGTTACTGCATAAGACAATAAAAACAAAGATGATTTCTTATATTGAAAAAAAAAAACGATGTTTCTTTCGTCAACCATAGTAGTTTGTAGTTTAATATTTTGTGTGTTCACTTTTCTTTTCTTCTTTTTCTTCATTCATCATATTGATTTTTATCCAAAGATAGAACGATATTACAAAAAAAAAAATTCATACAGTGACACTAATTATCAGTGCGTTTGTCTGTATATTATTACATCTTCATTTAACTTGGTCCTCATTTTTTGATCAATATGTCGTTTGTATTTTCTTTTTTCTTTTCTTTGCTCTTCTAATTTTTCCTTTCGAAGTTTCATGTTTGCATAAAAACAATATAGAACAACTTTAATGACATTTGCTCAATCGTTCATTTTCTGTCTACATATAGAAACATAAGAATAATATATTATATTTAGCTGTAATCTATCATCAAATGGGGCTATTGTAGTTGCACGAGAACAATCAGAAGGGCAAGGTAGATAAGGAAGATAATAAGAGAGAATATTGTTTATATATCATTACTTGTTTATAGGACGTGGAAATAATCAATGGACATCACCCTTGGGTTGTGCTTTGTTCAATGTTTATTTTGACATTGATTTACAGTCGTTATTGGGACAACGTTTATCTCTATTACAACTTTTAGCTAGTGTTGCTATTTTACAAGCAATTGAAAGAACACCAGAGTATAAAGTACAATAATCATAAAGTTTTCTGAAACAATATTTGTAAATATTGAATAATAAATTTTTATTTGTTGGTTTTTAGGCACTCAATGTTCAAATCAAATGGCCGAATGACATATTTATTGGAAATGATTTTGCTAAATTAGGTGGTATTTTAGCAACATCATCAATTAGTGGGAACTATGCATCGATTAGTCTTGGTTGATATTTTAATCTTTTTTATTCAAACGAAAAGTATTTCAATCGATATATTTCTTTTTTTTTTCTAGGTATCGGTGTCAATATATTTAATACTCAACCATCTGTTTGTTTGAATGATGCTATTGATCAACATAAATCAACTTTAAATTTATCTCATTTTACAATTGAAGAATTTATTGGTC